AGGAGGACCCTAAGAGAGCTATGCATGGTACCTCAGAGAAGAGGAATGGCACAGGGTCTCCTGTGGTTTGGGAGCATTGGGGAGGGAAGAGTGAGCTGGGAGTTAGAGAAGGGGAGAGGAGGAGGGGAAGAGAAGGACATGGGGGAGCAGTAAGTTTAGGTTCGGTGAAGAATAGATGTGAGCAGGATGAGAGATACCATAATAGAGGGAACCATTACAGGTTTGAGGAGAGATCTGGCACTAGTGAGATTTCCAAAGATCTGCAAGGATGACACCAACTAACAAAATATACAATAGTGGAGAGGCTACCTTAAATGCCCTTCCCCTATAATGTGATTAATGACTACCTTATATGCCATCCTAGAGCCTTCATCCATTGGCTGATGGAAGCAGAGGCAGACACCCACAGATAAACACTGAACTGAACTCCTGTAACCGTGTTGAACACAGGGAGGAGTGATGAGCAAAGGGGTCAAGACCAGGCTGGTGAAACCCACAGAAACAGTTTTGACCTGAACAAGGTGGAGCTCATGGACCCCAAACTGATGGCTTGAGGCCAGCATGGGACTGATCCAGATCCCCTGAATGTGGCTGTCAATGCGGAGGCCTCAGCAAACTATGGGGACTCGGCTAGTAAAATGGACTTTGGGAGCCCATTCCAGATGGAGGGATACTCTTTCAGCCTGGACACATGGGAGAGGGCCTAGGCCCTGCCCTGGATGATATGACAGATTTTGGAGATCCCCATGAAGGACCTCACCCTCCCTGGGGAGCAGAGGTGGGATGGGATGGGGGGTTAGGGATGTTGATGGAGGCTGGGGGAGGAGGAGAGGTAGAGGGAGCTAGGATTGACATGTGAAGCAAGCTAGTTTCTAATTTAAATTTAAAAAATTGACAGAAAGTCATGAAGTCTTCAGTTTTGTCAATAAGTTGCTTACAAAATAATTTCGTTTTTTTAAGAAGTAGAGACCAGTGGTTCTTATGTGTATCATGTTTCTGACATGCTCATTCTTGTTCGGAATACAGAAGACCCACCACCTTCCCTAAAATTGAGAGGAATAGTGTCCATTGGAGCAATGCCACCTCTCCCCATTTCAATCAGTGGGACCAATCAAGAAATAAGTATGACCTCTTATTCCTGAGCTATGTTTTCATTTTTCCTGAAGATGAAGCTGCTTATCCAGATACTGTGAATACAGGAACTTCAATACACATGGCAATATCAGTGGTAGAATTCTGTCCCAAAGAAACTGACACGAGTTTATTTAAAGTCCTTTCTTATTTTAAGAAAGATAGCAAGGACTTCCAGGTCAAGGGGGAAAATGTCTCCCTTAAGTCGTCTGTGAAGACAGTACTCTAGTCATTACCTGACACCTGTGACACAGGAGAGGCACTCTGAGTACTGTTTGAGGGACCAGGGCTAGGTGCTCAAAGTTAAAGAGGTCAGATTTTATATATCTCTATCTCTATTTCTACATCTATATCATATATATATACATATATATATATACATAAAGACAGATGATATACATATATACATATAGATAGATAGATACATAGATACATAAATACATACATACATACATTGCCCAGGTCTGTGTCTCACAGACAATCTCTGTTCTTCTAAATCGAGTTACAACCAGAGCACCAGTGATAAGCAGCCCAGGGAGAGAGAGGTCTAACAGTGCTGTATATACAAATGTGTTGGAAGTTACCCAGGGAAGCCTGTTTCCACAGGACTTCTAGCTGTGGTTACAAGTCTAAAATGTTCAAGGAAGTCTTTGAACTTCAGGATGCCAATCATTCCTAGATTTTGAAAGTTTCTGGGAGTTGCTGGTGCCAGTCTCCAGGAAACGGAAAGGAAGTTCATAACTGAACTCACTCTAGCCATAATTTATTGTGGTTCATGTTTTCCCTTGTCTTTTTTGCACACATTTGGAATGCAGTGCTACCAAATGGAAGATCTGCTCCTTGGGGCACATTTTGATTTTTTTTCTAGTCCTTGCTTCACCGAATTCCATAGCCAGAGGGGTGAAGCATGCCTTTAGTTACCATAGTTTTAGAATCTGTGTAGAATCTGATCAAGGCATAATTCAATCTTACTTCCTACTGGCTCTTCTGGTGGCAAACACAGAACATGTCACATAGTAAAAAGAATACAAGCCACAAGTTCAAAGCTGGAATGAGGTTCACTTTGCCATCACAGCTTTAAAACCTGGAATAGTTTTGGGGTTTTTGTTTGTTTGTTTGCTTGCTTTTGGTTTTTGGTTTTGTTTTGTTTTGTTTTTTTTAGCTTCCTAACCACCACCTTCACATCTATAAAATGGACACAAAACTTGACATATCTCAAGAGACTAACATCTGAATCAAAGAAGGCAGTTTACCTGAAAGCTGTTATAAAAGGCTTCATAGTCTGGAAGTCAACAATACTTCTCATAACACTAATAATTCTAGGATTTTACACAATTCTGGCTACCCACTGTGAAAGACCTCAACACCTAGAGCTCTTGGGTCTAGATAATGATATCATTTTCTACTCTGGGTTCTACATGCATGAAGTTATACATGGAGCCATGTAAGGAAGGGAAGGTAATTCCCTTCTGTTCTCACTTACCTGAGGCGACGCTGCGCAGTGAACAAGTCAGAGGGAACGCAAGCCCAGGGTGTCTACCACACAAATTCGCACTTTTCGGGTTCGGCTGTCTCTGAAAGAGGAAAGTCAAAGTGAGAAGCATGCTATTTTGAGGTGGGGGAGTGACATTGCTTCAACTAAGAATGTTATCTGAGTCTGTTAGAGAAAATGTTTAGTTGGTAATTTAGGGTTGTCTTTATCAAGTTGTATAAAAGATGTCATGTCTCAAGAAACTTGATATTTTCCCACAGTGCTGTGTAATCCAACATTTCCAGTCTGACCTCATTAGAAAAAGTCATCAACGAAATGATTCTCAAAGCAAATGAATCCCATGATTTCTGTCTTTTTCCTGCTTTTAAAAATTGATTTAACGGAGTAGGGTATTTTATCATGGCATTCCATGTCCTTCCATCACAATTCTAATCACTTTATTTCCTATCTCTCCACTCTAGCATTTGCCTACCTAAATAGTCCCACTACACCTTCACGTCCTTCTTTTTTCTGTTAATATAGACTCCATGAACCAGGAAAACAATATATAATGCTTGACTTTCTGAGTTTGGCTTATTTCACACACAAGATAGTCTCCAGTTGTACCCACTTTTCCTACAGATGACATAGTTCATTCTTCATTCTGAATAAATCTCCATTGTGTGTCTGGGTGCATCCTTTACCTATTCTTTACCTACTTCTATTGATGGATACCTAGAGTAATACCACTATTTGTCCATTTTTAATATTGCTTCTATAAACATGAATGTGGAAAAATATTTATAGTATTCTGACTTTAGTTTTTTATATAGTTTTGAAGAACCTTTACATGTTTGAATTACTGGGTTTGAGTGTTTAATTATTGTGACCTTAAAATATGCTAATCATAATTCAATCATATGTATAGTTGGCAAGGGTTTTCTCCTATTCTGTTGGTGGTCTCTGCTGATTGCTTCCTTTGCTGTGGATAAGATTTTCAATTTCTTGTGATCTCATCTGTCATCTTTTGCTATTACTTCTTAGGCCTCTGGTATTACAATCAGAGTCACTTCCTAAGTTTATATAAAATGGTATTTCACTTACTTTCTTTAAGTAGTTTTAACATTTTGCATCTTACACTAAGATCTCTATCCATTTTGAGTTTATTTTCATTCTACATACTGATATTCAGTTTCCCTGGCATGATTTATTGAAAAGACTTTCCCTTCACAGTATATTCTTTGTTGCCATTCTGGAGAATAAAGTGATTACAGCTACATGGCCTTATTTCCAGATCATCTATTCTATTCCAATAAACTTTGCTTTTCCTAAAGCAAGTACATTTTGTAATCTTCAAATAAAAACCTAATTCAATTATATAAAAAACTTTTCCCTCAAACATCTTTGCGAATTAGTCATTCTGTGCTCTTGAAGTGTCAAAACCAAAGTCTCAGGGCAGGTGTGTTGTGATCACTATGTATGTTAGTGGGGGCAAGGTCTCTTCATTCACCCTGATCTCACATGGCAACCATCAGTAGTGTCAAAGTCTTTGGGGGCACTCTGAATTCATGGAGTGACTGGCAGAGGGCAAATGGGAAACACTGAATTTTCCCATGTTCCAGCCTGCATTCTGTACAAATTAAAGATGAATTTCTGGGCATACAGTCTATATTTTAATGTTTTTAAATTCAAAACATGATAACCATGTATAATTTGATTGTTAACCTCTATGTATACCTCTATGATAGATTTTCAATGATTCTGGTCTAGCAGAATTAGTATTGTAAAAATGGATGTCATACCAAAAGTCATCTACCTGTCCAATACAATCCCTATCAGTAGTCCAATGACACTCATCACAAAAACAGAAAGAAACAATGAAAAATATTATATGGAAACAACAAAGACTATGCAAAACCAAAGCAAGTCTAAACAGAAAGAAAACAAATGTTGGCATCACCTGGCCTGAACTCAACTTATACAGCACAGTTACTGTGACAAAGAGAACTACAGGCACAAAAACAGACATGAAGACCAATGAAAGAAAATAGAGGATTTGGAAATAAACCCAGATAAGTGTGGCCACCACATAACCTTTGATACAGTGTTCAAAAACATACAATGAAAAAAAAAACCTAGTCAACAAATGGTGCAGGTAGACTGGATCTCTACCTGAGAAAGAGTGAATATAGTCATACATCTCACCCTGCACAAAAATCAGCTCAAAAGGATCAATGACCTTAATGTAAGAATAGAAACTGTGAAACTACAAGGGGGAAAACACTTCGAGATACATGCATAGACAAGAACTTTCTGAACTCAAGTCTAATAGCATAGGAAATCGCCCTAAGAATTAAGAATGACATTAGATGACATTATAAAAGCTCCCACAGAAGCTTGACATGTTGTGTGACTTGTATGAAACCCTGACTATCACCCAGGCAGTAATCTTTATCAATACCAGAAGGAAGGTGGATTGGCTCACTGAGAAGATGCATGCCCGGGTTTTCACTGTTTCCGCCATGCATGGAGATATAAACCAAAAGGAACGAGATGTGATCATGAGGGAGTTCCGGTCTGGTTCTAGCAGAGTATTAATTACCACTGTCCTGTTGGCCAGAGGCATTGATGTGCAGCAGGTCTCCTTAGTCATCAATTATGACCTTCCCACCAACAGGGAAAACTACATCCACAGAATCGGTCGCGGTGGTCGCTTTGGCCGTAAAGGTGTGGCTATTAATATGGCGACAGAAGATGACAAGAGGACTCTTCGAGACATTGAGACATTCTATAACACCTCCATTGAAGAAATGCCCCTCAATATAGCTGACCTCATTTGAGGGGCTGTCCTGCTACCTGGCCCTAGCCAGGGTTTAGTCCTGGGGGGTTGAGGAACAGCTGGAAGGGGGAGGGAAGGGAGCCAAGGGATGGACATCTTGGTTTTGTGTTTTTTCTTTCTCTCTCTTTGAATAAATGTCACTTTTTGAGGCAAAAAGAAGGAACTGTGAACATTATAGATACCTTTTTCTTTGGGATAGGTTGTGCCATCTCCTTCCCCCATGCCCAAAACACTAATCCATCTCCCTAACCTAGACACCTGATTCTAAAGACTTTCCTACTACCCCAGCCAAGCCTCCAAAAGTGAACTGAGGGGCTAAAACATGTCTGGCCTCATCTGCTGGACAAAATCTACAGGGATAGTCCCTGCATGAAGTTGTCCAGGGAATGGTCCCCAGGTGAGGGGAGCAGGGAAGAGAAAATGGTAGCCATTTTTACATTGTTTTGTATAGTATTTATTGATTCAGGAAACAAACACAAAATTCTGAATAAAAGTACTTGGAAACTGCCAAAAAAAAAAAAAGCTTCCTCAGAGCACAAGAAACTGTTACTAGTAGAGCGAAAATACAACCTAAAAATGGGAGAAAAATCTTTGCCAAACGTATTTCAAGCTTGAATTAATATTTAGAGTATAAAAAGAACTTTAAAAATTAAGCATCAAAAATCATAAAAAATATTTTATAATTGGCAAATGGAATAATGAAATGAACAGACAGTTCTCAAGAGAAGAAGCAAAAATGACCAAGTAAATTTTAAAAGCATTCATCTGTAGCCATTAGAGGAATTAAAATGACTTTTACCCGGCGAGGGAGTTCAGCCCATGAGAGCATTAGCCAGACAAAACCCACAACCTGAGTTTGTTCCCCAGAACTAAAGGTAGAAGAGAACCAACTCTACAAAGTTACCCTCTGCCTACAGGGTGTGCACCCACACACAGATATGCAGCACAAACAATAAATTATAATAATAATAATACAAAGAACGATTTTAAACTATTTTGAGAGTCCATTTTAGCCCAGTCAGTTTGCCTATCATCAGAAATAGAATCAGTTTAGATATCAATCCACTGGTGAATAAATAAGAAAAACGCGGCAGATGTGCACAGTGAAATTTCATTCGGCAGTAAAGAAAAATGAAAGTAGATGGATCTGGAAAGTATGTGAGGTAACTCAAACTTGGAAAAAATAAAAAAATTTGCATATTCTCTCTAACACATGGATCCTAGTTTATCATGTGTGCATATGTGGTGTGTGTGTGTGTGTGTGTGTGTGTAAGAGTGAGATTCGATATCAAACCGGAAAGGAGACCATGAGAGGGGGAAAAAAAGAGATGCTGAGGAGCAGGGAGGACAAGACACAAGTCTTATCGAAGTGGAAAGGAAGCTATTGGGGGTGGGTAGAAGGCTGTAGTACAAGGCTGTAGGCGTTATCTCAGGGATGGGGCGCAAAGGGAGACAGGAAATTAGTGAAACAGCTCTTGTTTGAGAAGGACATAATGAAACTCAAAACTGTGCGTGCTCATTAAATGTATTTAATCACAAGTGAAACTCTCCAGGTAGCAGCAATGCATGCCTATGTTTGTGAATCGATGGTACAAAGGGAATGGAAGAGACAAATACAGACCATGCTGGTGCTCATTCACTTGAGTACAGGAGCTGTTGTGGGAAAAATCACCTGTTTAATGCACTACTTTTCAATTTAGTTTCCAGTGGGGACTGCAATTATTGACCACAGAGTGTTTATGCAACCAGTAGCACTCCTTCCGATTAAATGAAAGTAATGATTATTTTGTTTCTGCTGTTTCTTCCTACAGGCTCGCACAGTGGTATCCAATATTCCAAACGGGTATCTCCATTAAGGTGAATTCGTGAAGACAAATATTTACATAACTGCTTGTTGAATATGCCAGTTCAATCCATTTTTTGACTTCCGTGTCTCTGCTTTGAGATGCACAATGCTGTACTAGGAACATCTAATACAGGGATCTGGTACTGGAGTTTACGATGTAATATTTTTAAATGGTTTAATTTTCTTCATGGTAATGTCCTATATTTACCAGAAAACTCATTCAGTAAAATCATAGACTTCCAATCCATGAATATAGTTGAGACTATTACAAAATCCCAGGTATATATAATGTATGCCCCAAAGGTTGCCAGCTAATAATCTGTTAGTTTTTCTCAGGGGAGGACAGCAGTCCAGAGAGGTGATAATTATCTATCAGTACATATTCAAACTGTCAGGCAAGGCCTGAAGTAAAAAAACACACTTTCTCCTCGTCACAGTCATCCAGTCCTGTGTTCATTCTATAAACAGAACCCTTTTGCTTAGAGATTTCGAAGCAGTGCAAAGTAAAATACTATTAGTTACTGGAATAAAATTTTACCATAAATGTAAAGGCTCCTTTATAAAAATCATAAATTGGTTTCTTACAGCTTTGAGGTTTCTTATAGACAAAATGTGGATCAACTGAAGTTAACTACTGAAAGAAAATGGCTAACATCCACGTTGCTAAAAAACCTGCTTTAAATTCCTCCAGAAATACTTTCATTAATTGAACACATTCCTTTGTAATTGAATGGACTTATTAATGTTAACTTATTATGGTATTTCCTAGGCTTGCCCTGATTTGGTGTAAGGGTTCCAACATCCCATCTAGCTGGTGGGAAAGCAAGGGAGATGGTGGAGCCCAGTCTCCACTTCCAGAGGTTAGGAAGCACAGATCTCTCCTGGGGAGCAACTGGCCCAGCCTTGTGTGGTGCTATGCTCGCTTATGTTTCGGAGGATTCTCAAGTTATTATTTGGATTCCACGGTCAGTCTCTAAGCTCTGTTTTTTTGTTTTTTTGTTTTTTTGTTTTTTTGTTTTTTTTACTTACGGGTGCTTCCTTTTGTCCCCTGGTGCTCTACTTTTGGCTGATGCTAAATCTCCTTGACAAATATGTCCACCTACATAGCTTTATATTGAACATAAACTATTGTAGTTTGTGTGACTCCTTTTTTAAGGCTTATTTGTCCCTGGCTGTGATTGTGTTTCTATGAGAGGACCACAAGACAGCAAGAGATCCTATGTTTATGTGAACATCCTCAATTTCAGAACCAGGGTGTTGGAAGTGGAGATGTGGCTCAGAGATAGAGCACATGTTCAGTATGAGTGATACCTTGGACCTGACCCTGAGCACACACACATATGCATGCAAATACACACATACACATACACACAGATGAACACACACACACACACACACACACACACACACACACACACACACCTAGGGTATTGTCTTCTTTCCCTTTAAAACTCTTCACAGATAGATATCCCACAGCGTCCCTATGTAGGCTCTATGTTTCATGCTATTTCTAAATACACAATTCAACTCTGTTTCCCTAGTAACCTTTCCTTGCTCATTATATTTCTGTCTATTATAGACAGAGACTTTATGAAAATGAAATTCCTGTACTATATTGAATACTAAAATCCATATATCTATCTATCTATATATATATATATTTGTTTTCCAGAATAGTCAGTCCATAAGTTTCTTTTTGTTTGCTATTTTAGTTATTAGTGGCTTCCTTTGACCCATTATGTCATTCTTGCCTCAATTTAATTTTCCTGGCACTCAAATTTGAGACTGAACTCCAATTCCATCAATTTCATCTGTGTGATCCCTTGAAAGTACATTTGAACTCTGTATTTTCTGGTTTCCTACTAACACAAATGAAACTAACAATAGTATTAATCTTAAGAAGAATTATTGTTACAGTTAGATATAAATTATATAACCTGGTACCTTTTAAAAAATAGAATTTGTCAAGTGCTAGTCATTTTCATGTTTGAACAATTAGAGGGGGTTAGAATAGTGAAGAGTAGGTCTCTAAAGAAGAAAAGAGCCAGCTCCAATTTAACTTCTATTATCAATGAAACTATTCTCTAGCCTAAGAGGGAGACTAATTAGCTGTCTCACCACCAAAAAAAGTGAGAAAGGAGGCATCTAGCTGTTGTATTCAAGTGCATCAGCTCTACACAAAATGAGTCACATCCCCTCTACAGTCACAACAGTACAGATTTTCCTATCCTACCTACACATTTCTCAAGCAACAGGCATTGCTGTATAGATCTTAGGTTTTTGTTTATTTGTTTGCTTGTTTTTTAGCATGCTTCTGATTTAGACTTAATATTTTTAAATAAGAGTTTCAGAACATGTTTTGTTATTAAATGCCTTTAGTTTATGCTTATGTTGAACTACAAGATAGTTTGATAGATAAAGCATCCTTACTTGGTAAGTAGTTTCTCCAAGGCCTTGAGATATATCAATCCATGCCTTGCTGGATTTCAGGATTGCTGTTGAGAGATCCAGTGTTACCTTGATATGTCTGTCTTTGTATGTGATTTGGTTTTTTTTTGCCTTAGTTTTTCTTTTTTTCTGGTTTCTAGAGTCAGTGAGTTTCCCGAAACCCACTGTATAGATCAGGCTAGCCTTGAACTCAGAGAGTCTCCTGTCTCTGCCTCCCAAGTGCTGAATTAAAGGTGAGTGCCACCTTGCCTGGCTTTCCTTACTGTTTTTAATATCATCCATTGCTTTGTAATTTTGGCATCTTGATTATTATGTGCCATGGAGAGGTGCTTCTCTGGTTATGTCTAGATAGGGTTCTAAATGGCCTTTATTTTTGAATGCCTTTTTGTTTCCCTCTTGATGCATGAAATTTCTTATGATTACCTATCATCTGTAGCCCCACAGCAATGAGCAACAGAAAAGTGGCTACAGAATTTCAGCACTCACTGCCCTTATGCTCAAGCCTACCACATGCCTGAGTTACTCTCAACTGTGATAAATTCTGTACAGTGTCTTAAGTTAATTACTGATTGCATAAGGTCATTCTCTAATTTCACAGAGCCCCAAGGTCCTCCTTGGTTTATTCCTGGGCAATCATCTCACCACAGAACTCTGACTTCATCCTGCTGACATTTTTATTTCCTGCCTAACTACTATGCTTTGAATGTGAAATCTCCCCCTTA